CACGTGGCTGAGGACCTTGGCAAGGCCTTTGGCGAGCGCTTTGGAGGAGGCAGCATCGAGTTGTTCAAGCTCATGGTGGAAAAAGGCTTCTTAGGTGAGACGCTAGGCTGTTTTAATTGAACATGTTTCCCTTTGTTCAAGGAAGAGTACTAGCATCCATCAGCCTCTTCTGCCTCAGGTGAGAGCAGTCAGAGAACAGCCCTGGGAATGGGTTGGGAATCCCTCCCAGCTGTACCCTGGGTAGACCTTTGGCTGTGGCCAGACCTTCCTTTACAGAAATGGCAGCAGCAGGCAAAGATGCTGCCCAGAGCAAAGGCAGCAGACAAGATCTCATGAACCTCTGTCTGGCCCCTTTGTGAAACCTGCACAAGCGCTCTGGGACATGGGGAGCAAATGGCTGGAAATAAACGTGCTCAAGTGAAACAAGCCCTGAACTGAGGTTTAGAAGCTCCGTGCAAGGAAAGATTATGGCTCTGTCTGCGTGGCAGAAGCTGTGCCCTGGTGGCACTGGGTGCCAGAGGCAGCTGTGCCTCTGAGCATGCCAGGACAGAGCAGCGTCCGTCAGTGGGACCTGCACTTGGACCATGGTAGCTCTCACCTTCCAATGACCCTTGCTGTGACCAGACCCCTGGCAGAGAGGGTTGCTCAGGAGATCTTGTCATCTCTGTGCCTTGCTCCCAAGTGTGGACGAGGACCGTGTCTTTTTGCTGCTCTGGCCACGGAAACGGTGGCATTATTTGACTGTCCTCTGGACCTAGTGAAGGCATTAGGGCCTGGCAGAGTGGCAACATCTTGCCAAGGAGTCAGCTGGACATGGGCCCCCTTCCCTCTGTCCTTGGTGAGGCAGCAAAGAGGCTCGCTCTGAAGCGGAGACGCTGCCTGTGCTGGGAGGATCTGCTCATGCTAACAGAAGCAGGAGTCACAAGAAGATCAGAGGTGAAGGTGTCGGGAGCAAACGGGACACGTGGCAGGATGTGACTGTCTCTTTTTTTTTATCCCCGGCAGGTCGCAAGGCAGGGAAAGGCTTTTATATTTACCAGGAGGGGGTGAAGAACAGGAGCGTGAATTCTGGCATGGATGAGATCTTGGCACGGTTTAAAGTGCCAGCCAAACCTGAAGTGTAAGTAGCTGTGCATGCTTGAGCGGTGGTGTGGGCTGGCTCTCACCCCAGCTCCTTCTGCCTCTGAGCAGCGGCACAAGGGCTGCACCAGGCAGCGCTGGAGGACGGTGCTGAACATGGAGTCACTCCAGATGGCATTTGGCTGTTCCCAGCTGGCGTGCAGGGGGGCAGGCTGTTGGCTCTGGAGAGCCTGTGCTAGCAGGAATGGGGCATCCTCGAATTTATCAGCATTTGCTTGGGCACCTTTGCAGAAAGCTTTTCTGTGGTGGGGCTTGTCCGGGCAGGCGGGTTGGTGCAGCCCCTGCCGTGACCTTCCTGGCGTCAGACCTGTTGTACAGCCTGGCACCGAAACATCTCCTGGAGCAGTTCCCATCTGGCCTGATCGAGCCTTTGGCATTCTTACGTGTCTGCTTCAGGACACGTCACAGAACTTTGTCCTTATCCTCATGTGGACAGGGACAGTCTCAGTGAGAAACCGTTCTCTCCCCTACCCCAGGCCTGGCTTTGTCCCCAGTCTGTGCTGGCTTCACGTGCTCCTCCATCCAGCTGCTGTGTTACCTGCACAGCCCTTACAGACTCTTTCCTTGCAGCTGTACTGATGAGGACATCCAGATGCGCTTCGTGACGAGGTTTGTGAACGAGGCAGCCATGTGCCTGCAGGAAGGGATCCTCAGCAATCCCGTGGAGGGAGATATTGGTGCTGTGTTCGGCTTGGGCTTCCCGCCGTGCCTGGGAGGTAAGCGGGTTCAGCTGGGGTTTGGGCTAGGCTGCATGGCTTGGCTCAAAAGCTTCGTAGTGGGCTTGCCTAGTGGGCTCTAGCCACCAGAAGCGAGTCAGCTGTTAAGGCCAGGTTTGAGCCGCAGTCTGACAAGCCTGAGTGTCCTTCTCCCATGTAAAGCCTGAGCCAGAGAGGTTCCTCTAGCGTTCCCGCCCCACGAGAGGTGGCAGCGAGCCTGAGAGCTGCTGTGAGACGTTTCTGCCAGGACCCTGTGGAGTTCCTCTGCTGGTACACAGCTGTTTCACAGAGCTGTGGCTGGTGAGGGTCAAGGGACTCTAACCAGGCCGTTTGCTGTGTCTTCGGGCTTGAATAAGAGGGCAGAGCCATACTGGCCCCAGCCTCATCAGTACTTCCCGTGAGAACTTCAGCGGAAGAGCTTTTACCATGCCTGATAGTCGTGGGGGTGTAGGTTGAACGGGAGACTTGCAAAGGCCCTACATTTTTAAGAAATCCCTGGCTTTTGTGCAGCCATACGGTGCTCGGTGAAAAACGAGGCTCTGGTATCTCATCTCTTGCTGCTGCTACTTGCCTGGGCGGGCGGGCAGGCGTCTTGCAGCACTTCTGGAAACCTGGTCTTGTGCTGCACACAGAGTTGAGAAATGGTGCCCGAGGATGCACCGTTCTCCCCGTGCCTGCACGTGGCACGGATAAAGCTGAGCTGATAAACCTCAGCCATGGTGCACAGCACTTCTCAGGCCAAGGTACTGGCCAAGAGCATGGGCGAAGTTCTCCTGGCCCCATCTGCAACCTGGCTGGGTGGCTGTGGCCATGGCCAGGGCAGTGGACGAAGCATGAGCTGAGGTTTGGGTCACAACTGAAGGATACTAAGGGCTCTTGGGCATGAGGTGGTGCTTCTGCTGAGTACCTAGCACTTTCCCTCCTTGAGGCAAGCTCAGACTAAGGGAGCAGTCCCAATTATCTGTGCCCCAGCTTGTCCCCGGCAATCCAGTCTGCCCTTTCGCTCAGCGCAGGTGGGCAGGCAGGGAGCAGGGTCCTGCGTTGCCCTGCCAAGAAGCTGGGCATCTCTTTCGGAGAAGGACGGATTGGCCGAATCCAGTGCTCTCACCCTTCCAGGCACCTTGGTGCTTCTCGCTTCCCTGTCACAGATGTGTCCCCCTGTCCCCGGCAGGTCCCTTCAGGTACGCAGACTCGTACGGAGCCAAGCAGCTGGTGGACAAGCTGCGGAAGTACGAGGCCGTCTATGGCAGCCAGTTCACGCCGTGCCAGCTGCTGCTGGACTACGCCAACAGCCCAAGCAAGAAATTCCACCAGTGAACGTGGCCTGACGTTGCCCACCCGTGACACACCGACAGCTTGAGCCAGGGTGACCGGCTCTCCAGCAACACCCCATTCTCTAGGTTAATCTGCAAAGCACCCGGGGGAGGCAGGGGAGGAAGGAGGCTGGCAGCGGATTGCCTCGTGGCTTGTAGTCATTTCAAGTGCCTTATCAGCTGCTGCGTGTTGGGCACGTCCATCCCATGCCAGCGTGGGCCTGGTGGCTCCTTGCTGGAAGAGAGAATTTCTTCTGTGTTCACCTCCACGCTGCGACCTCCGGAGCTCCCGGTCTGGCAGGCAGCATCCAGCACACATCTGGCCCTGAGGCCTTGCCTTTCCGTAAACCTCCAACAATAAATCCCCGTCTCCTGGGTTTGGACTCCATGCCTGCTTCTCCTCCCCTCTTGTTGGGGCAGCAGCCTCTCAGCACCGAGGAAGGGAACTGCTCGAGTCGGAAATAAAGCGTTCAGGCAATCCTCTGGGGTCCTCTCTGTGCTTGCCGGCTGCGAGACCCACAAAGGGGCTGCTGGCGGTTGCCGGAGGGTGGGGAAAGGCAGGGGAGGGCGGCAGTGCAGAACAAAGACCGGCTCTGTCACCTCTGCCATCAATCAGGGTCTGCGAGGAGCCTCTGGCTCTTTTGTCTGGGCCCGAGCGCTGCCACCGGGGTTATCCTGGCAGATGGACCCGCCTGTAATTGCAAATCAAGCAGCCAAAGGCCAGAAGGGTCCCCCGTGGGGAGAGCTCAGTTTAAACTAAAAGGCTTTAAATCTCTGTGCACCTGTCAGTAATTTCAGAGCTGGCCTGGCCTCCGCCTCCCCGGCTCCCCGCCATGCGCTGTCTCCTCGGGCTCCAGCCTTTTTCCTGTGCCCTGGCAGGGCTTGGGCCAGGAGCTGGGTGATGCTGCTCTTTTCATGTCACGTTTGTGTTCGTTTCTCAAAGCTACCAGGACAAAGTCGGGCTGAGACATCGTCTCGCCATGCCTCTGCTGCCTGCCGGGAGGCACCGGGCTGCCTGTGCAGCTGGTAACCAGCCTTCAGCCCTCCCTGGGGGGGGATGCAGCAGCCCCTGGGACTTGCCCCCTGCATGGAGGGCTGTGCAGGAGCTGTGTTTGTCGGGGCTGGGGAGGTCTGGTCCCAGACCTTGCCGTTGCTGTGGCTCTGTCAAGCCCTGTGCAGCGGGGCTGGGGGAGCTCAAGGGTCCATGGGGCACCTCACCATGGGCCCTGGGAGAGTCGGGTGCTTCGGGTGGTGGATGCAGCCCTGAGGACAGGTCTCAGCTTCCCTTCCCCAGGGTCGGCCGTGTCCGTCAGGCAGGGGAGCTTCCTTCCAGGGCCCTGAAATCACCCTGGGGTGCAGGCAGCCCGGAGCAGCTCCGAGAGCAACGCGTTCCCTTGCATGGAGGACACAGGTCCCTTCCCACCTCGTGGGGAGGGATGCAAGGATGGGGGTGACGCCCGGAGCCTCCATCCCTGCCAAGAGCCCCTTTCCCCCTCCTCCCCGAGCAAGAGGCTTCTCCGGTGGCTCGGTTTTTCTCCCATACTTTTATTACGCTAATCCACAAGGATTAAGTTAAACCAGTCAACGCAAACTCCAGTATTTTCCAGCCCGTTTGGGCCAAAATTACCGTCCAGTGTTAAAACGGAAAGGGGGGAGGGCTGGGCAATAGGGCCAAAACTGGGCGTGCGGGCCGGGCGGGGGGGGGGGAGAGGAAAACCCTGCCGCATCGGGGCACCCCCGGAGCGGGGCAGGGCATGGGAGCAGGGTGAGCCAGAGCTGCGGTCCGGGTGGCTGGGGGACCCCCGCGGTCCAGGGGGTCCCCGGTGCGCAGCTAGATCTTGGGGCGCCAGCCCTTGATGAACTGCATGATCTTCTTCACCTGGAGCTTGGTGAGGCGGAAGTCGTCGGCCAGGATCTCCTCGCTGAGCTGCACGAAGATGCTGCCGTCGATGCGCTCGCGGGCAAAGAAGCTGACCACGTCCTCGGAGAGGCCGATGAAGCGCAGGCACTTGGAGACCTCCTCCAGCGAGAGGGCCGAGAGGTCGGCGG